GAGAGGACTCTCTGATGTTGAGAAGTTCCTCTCTACTGAATGAGACCACAGGATTGTGGCTCGAAAAACATAAAAACACACAAAATACAAAAACAAAGAGAGAGCGAAGCTCCGAGGCTGCCATCGTTGGCGCCATCTTGGTCACAAAGAAAGATGGGGGCTGACTCTGACAGACTGTGGACGGTTAGTCATGAAAGTCTTTAATACAGCTGCAGGTGGGAAGAGGAAGACCGGGAGTCAACAGTTTATTGATCAGGATGACTGAGATATTGGTGTTAAAAGCGGAGGAATAATCCACAAATAGCATCCTGACGTAGCTGTTCCTACTTTCCAGATGATTCCAGATTGTATTAAGAGTGATGGATATGCCGTCGTCTGTGGATCTATTTGGTTTGAAGGCAAACTGGTGATGGTCCAAAGATGGAGGGATGCTGGCTTGTTTGTTTTTGAGCACCAGTCTCTCAAAGCACTTGGTTATAAGGGGGGTGAGGGTCACAGGTCTGTAGTCGGCCAGGCTGGATGAAGATGGTTTCTTGGGGACAGATGGTCTCTGATTTTAGAGAAGGGTGGATGGAGGCTTGTGAGAGGAGTAAGTTGAAAATGGTAGTGAAGACACGTGAAAGTTCATTGCAGCATGCGCCGTGTACCTTCCCAGGTACTCCATCGGTCCTAGCAGCCTTCCTAGGATTCACTGCTTTGAGAACCTGCCTCACCTCATGCTGTTGGATGGTGAAGGGCGGTTTGTTGGTGACTAGAAGGGATGGAGTGGAGGATCTTTGGATCTCAAAGCGGGCAAAGAAGTTATTAAGCTCCTCTGCCAGCAAGGCTCCATTTGTTGTAGAAACTGACTTTGTACTTCCTTGTTAGTTGATGAGATGTTGTAGCCCCCACCACACTAGTCTCGGATCATTATCCGATACCAAGTCCACAATTGTTCCTTTATAGGCCACCTTGGCCGCCTTAATCCCTCTCCTGAAGTTAGCTCTAGCAGTGGTGTAAAGATCTCTGTCCCATAACCTGAAGGCCTTGTCCCATGCAGTGCTTCAAAGGTCATCCATGGCTTTTGATTGGGGAATACCCGGATGCGTTTATTTGCAGTTACATTGTTTATTTAAGTGTTAATCTAGAATAAAACAGTTTCTGTATACTGCTGGAGATCCAAATGTTCAAACAGGGACCACTGAGTGTGTGAGAAACAGTTTAGATGTTGTGAAAGTGCTCCTTCGGGCCATGTTGTAATATTCTGTATGCAGGGATTTTCTCTCCTCCTAAGCAGGATGTAAGCAGGAAGAAGGACTAGAGACAGGTGATCTGAGAGTCCCAGATGGGGGAGGGGCATTGCTCTACAGGTCTGCTTTAAGTTACAATAAACATGGTCAAGAGTATTTCCCTTCCCTGGTGGCACAGTTCACATACTGGGCGAATATGGGGAGCACTGGCTTCAAGCACGCCTGATTAAAATCACCAGCAACCACGTGGACACCATCAGGGTGATTTTTCTGCTGTTTGCTGATGTTTTGATAGAGGTGAGCCAATGCTGAGCTGACGTTAGCATCAGGGTCGATGTAAACAGCTGTCAAAATGACTGCAGTTAGCTCTCTTGGCAATGTGTACACCAGTTGTTGTTTATATGCACACTCAGCCCTATCCTCTGCTCTTACCAATGTCATTGGATCTGTCCTGTCTATGTAGCGTCCTGCTAGTCGGCTCAACGGCGGTGTCCGCAATCTGTTGTATTGTATTGGTTTATTTGTCATATGCAGGTTAACACAGTCAACAATGCAATAAAATGCTTGGGATAAGAAGAACCGTTCAAATCACTATAAAACAAAAGGACTAATGGCGTGCGATAAAAAAGTACACAATGTGCAGCAGCAATAGGCTAAGAGCGTTGGGAAGGTTACTTTAAAAAAAGTAACTAGTTATAGTTACTAGTTACTTTTCAAAAAACGGGAGATAGTTAGAAACTCAGTTGCTGCACTATTAAAGTAACTAGTCAATAGGCAAAGTAAGTATTCAGTTACTTTTCAGACTCTAAAATGATGGTACAAGTTGCTGACCAGTAGAATCAAGCTTTCCTGTTTGCAGGGTGTAGGATGGTCAGAGCTGGCGCTGGCTGCAGCAGGGTTCGGGTTGTTGGCCACTACTGTTGTGGAAGGTGAGATGGTGCGGTGCTTCATAAGGTTGGAGTTGCTGGTCATGGACGTGGATCATTTCTTTGTTCCCAGACATAACTTGCAGATCAGATGCATATTTTTGCCTTTAACTTCATTGAACGAGAAATATTGCCTATACTTCCAACCTTCGAACGCTGTCTTTGAATTTACAAAACTCCTCTCCATTGTCATGTTTCTGTCTTGCTGTTGGTTTACTCTGTCTGTGTGGTGAAAACCCGCCTACCTGATGCCTTCTCAGCCAATCAGCATCACGTATGCCACCATTTGTCCGTGCCCCCTCCCCCACCTGCTGCTTTTTCCTTGAAGAGCTTTAAAAACACTCACTGCAGCTGCGGGGGAAAAGCACCAGACTGTGCTCTTATTAAACCCCATTATTGAGTTGTAATAACGCAGCGCGTTACATTGTAAACATCATAACGGCGTTACGTAAATGAGAAAAGTATTTAGTTAGATTGCTCCATATCCAAAAAAGTAACGCAGTTACTAACGCTGTTATTTTGTAACGCCGTTACTCCCAACACTGGTCACAAATGTGGTTTGGTGCAGTATTATTGTCCAGAGATCAGCTGTCTGACAGCTTGTGGACAATAACTGTCTTTAAGCTTTAAGTTTCTGCTTCCTCTTTCCAGTGTCTGCGTCGTTTTTCTGGGATGACAATCCATGGCGAACCTGGGGCTCTGGCGATGGGGTCAGGGATATTGTAAGTCACCTAGAAGGATGACGTTTTTGCCCTACAATGGCCAGTTCCGACATTTATCAACTCTTGCCGACTGTTCCAGTCTACTCTGCATCCCCAGAACCAGAACCAAACAGGGAGAAGCAGCGTTCAGTTCTTCTCCTCCACTAATCTTGAACAAGTTTCCAGGAAGCTGCAGAGATGCTGAATCCCTGAGTTCTTTTAAATCAGTGTTAAAACCCATGAGTTTAGAGCTGCTTTGATTCTGTAGTCCAACTTTTCTTTACCTGCCTTTATTCTACCACTGCTGTGTACCTTTTTCTATGTTTTCTTCTCTTATGTTTCATCATATAAAGCACTTTGAACTGTCTTGTTGCTGAGATGTTCTACACTAATAAGTTCTGACCTTGTCTTGGTGTGTCTAATGATAAATGGGGGGAGCTTCCTGAGACTCTTAACACACCACCGATGCAGCCAACTCTCCAGAATCAGGCCCATCATTTAATCGGAAACGGGTCGATGCCGGTCAGAAAACAGTGACTAACTAAAAACAAACTGTCTGAGTCACGATCCCAGTTCCACTGAAACAATGACTCAACTGGACTGAATGTTACAGAACAAGCTGAACCTCCACATGGTGAATCTTACTGTAAATCCGGTGACCTTTGACACTGGAACAAATCATTCACAGAGGTTGACTTTTACAGTTGTTTTTTTAGTTTAGTGTGAATCATTTGTGACACTAGAACCAGGCTGCAGAACATTTTCAGAGTTCAAACCTTTATGAACGACTGGTGGATAGTTTGGTGGCCTAATTCAGAGATCAAACCAAAGGTGCCTTGGTGTCACTGCTGCTCGGGTCGACTGCTCTGTTTCTGTCTGAATGATGGAAAATTTCTGTAGATTTCTAAGAATCAGCTCGTCTCACCACTGCCTGTATTCTTAGAGCTACCAATATACACACACACACACACACACACACACACACACACACACACACACACACACCAAAGCAGCAGCAGCTTCAGCTGCTGCCGTTGTGACACTCTGCAGAACCATCTGAAGATGCTCTGAGCACCTGCAGAACATTTTAAAGTTAAAACATAAAACACGGCAGGTCAGCCTGTTCTCAGCCCAGGTGGAGGAAGAGTTCTGCAGAACATAGTTTGCTGATCTGATGCCTGAGGCGGAAACTAAACCACACTGATTACCTGGAAAGAAATTTCTGGGTATTACCACACACACGCTATCAGGCTGCAGATTAAACTGAAGGAAACCACAGCGGTAGCAGAGTATAAATAGAAAGTAAAAGCTCCTCTGCTGCATTCAGGACCTCCTCTCACACTAACAGACAAACTGTTTTTAAACATGAACCAAGCTGCATCTGCCAACAGCCAATCAGAGTGCAGAAAGTAACCCACGTGACTTTGTCTTTGTCGTTGACTTTGTCCAGATCTGACTGAGACCACAGTCTGAACTGAGGTTCATGAATGAGAGTTTGGTTGATTTCTATTGATGAGGAGATGAACATGCAGGTATTATCATCGATGTGGGACACTGACACTTACACGTCACAAAGCTGCTACTGAAGCAACATCTGCTGAATCGCTCCGGTGCAGAGCCGGACCCAGGTTTTACAGGGCCTGCCACTCTCTGGGTTTCCAGTGGCACTTTATGTTTCCTTTGACATATGATGCAGAGTATTTCTAAGGCAGCAGAGTTTAAAGCTGTGAGAAAAGTCTCTGAACTCAAACATGTCATCATGAAGAGATGACTTCAGCAGGTGGTTGAAGGAAACAGTTAAAATGATTTAATGTTAGCTTAAATGACTAGACTTTCTGCTGCAGCCTCATCTGTTCAACTCTTTCTGCAAAACTTCAGATTTAACAGGATGCATAAACAGAACACAGACCTGCTGCTGCAGAACATGAAGACAAATGTTTAAACACAAGACTGTTCACTGCATCCATGTATTTTTTAAGATATGTTTTTTCAGCACTAGTGGCCTTTATTTAGTATTTTTTGACAGTAGGTAGACAGGAAAGTGGTAGAGAGAGGGGAAGACATTCAGTAAATGTTGCCAAGTCCAGGACTTGAACCCGGGACAACCCTTTGAGGACTATAGCCTCTGCATATGGTCTCGTGCTTCGCCCCTACACCATCAGCACCACACCTGTCATGTATGTTAACCACAGCATCTCACAGTGTTTCATCTTCCTCTGTTGGTGGAAAAGAATTATAAACTAAATTTGGATGGGCTGATGAACAGAATAAGTAGATGATTGTTCTGTTAAAAGCGGATTCTGCTGGACTCAATGAACTGAGTCACTCTCTCTCTATGTTCCAGCCTTGTATGGTTTTAAAAGAATCTGATCTGACTGAGTTCTTTGAAAGCTTAAAAACATGAAGAACTTCCTGCTGCAGGGGCTGCCATAATGAATCAGTGGATCAGTGAATCAGTGGATCAATGGATCAGTGAATCAGTGAATCAATGGATCAGTGAATCAATGGATCAATGGATCAGTGGATCAGTGAATCAGTGGATCAGTGGATCAATGGATCAATGGATCAGTGAATCAGTGGATCAATGGATCAGTGGATCAGTGAATCAGTGGATCAGTGGATCAATGGATCAGTGGATCAATGGATCAGTGAATCAGTGGATCACTGGATCAGTGGATCAGTGGATCAATGGATCAATGGATCAGTGAATCACTGGATCAGTGGATCAATGAATCAGTGGATCAGTGGATCAATGGATCAGTGAATCAGTGGATCACTGGATCAGTGGATCAGTGGATCAATGGATCAGTGAATCAATGGATCAGTGGATCAGTGAATCAGTGGATCAGTGGATCAATGGATCAATGGATCAGTGAATCAGTGGATCAATGGATCAGTGGATCAGTGAATCAGTGGATCAGTGGATCAATGGATCAGTGGATCAATGGATCAGTGAATCAGTGGATCACTGGATCAGTGGATCAGTGGATCAATGGATCAATGGATCAGTGAATCAGTGAATCACTGGATCAGTGGATCAATGAATCAGTGGATCAGTGGATCAATGGATCAATGGATCAGTGAATCAGTGGATCAGTGGATCAGTGGATCAGTGGATCAATGGATCAGTGAATCAATGGATCAGTGGATCAGTGAATCAGTGGATCAGTGGATCAATGGATCAGTGGATCAATGGATCAGTGAATCAGTGGATCACTGGATCAGTGGATCAGTGGATCAGTGGATCAATGAATCAGTGGATCAGTGGATCAATGGATCAATGCATCAGTGAATCTGTGGATCAGTGGATCACTGGATCAGTGGATCAGTGGATCAATGGATCAGTGAATCAGTGGATCACTGGATCAGTGGATCAGTGGATCAATGGATCAATGGATCAGTGAATCAGTGAATCACTGGATCAGTGGATCAATGAATCAGTGGATCAGTGGATCAATGGATCAATGGATCAGTGAATCAGTGGATCACTGGATCAGTGGATCAGTGGATCAATGGATCAATGGATCAGTGGATCAATGGATCAATGGATCAGTGAATCAGTGGATCAGTGGATCAGTGGATCAATAGATCAATGGATCAGTGGATCAGTGAATCAGTGGATCAGTGGATCAATGGATCAGTGGATCAATGGATCAGTGAATCAGTGGATCACTGGATCAGTGGATCAGTGGATCAGTGGATCAGTGGATCAATGAATCAGTGGATCAGTGGATCAATGGATCAATGCATCAGTGAATCTGTGGATCAGTGGATCAATGGATCAGTGGATCAGTGGATCAATGAATCAGTGGATCAATGGATCAGTGAATCTGTGGATCAGTGGATCAATGGATCAATGGATCAGTGAATCTGTGGATCAGTGGATCAATGGATCAGTGAATCAGTGGATCAGTGAATCAGTGGACCAGTGCCCTACTGATAATGGATTTTCACCGTGCCACTGAACGGCCTATCACAAGATCCAGATATTCCACTTTTCCACAGGTGTTCTACAGACTCTAAGTTTCCATTACTGTTTTTTCCGTACCAGTACCAAACTTTTTGGTCCCTGCTCCTGGCCAGGTCCGACTGGGGCTGAGGCCCACATGTGATGTGAACAGACTGCTGTCCACTGATTGGCCATGGGACAAGGAAGAATGAGAAGGTTTTCACTGAGGTAGTACAGGGAAAGTTAATAAACCTCAAGAACGACTACAATAATATACACTCACCGGCCACTTTATTAGGTACACCTGTCCAACTGCCCATTAACGCAAATTTCTAATCAGCCAATCACAGGGCAGCAACTCAATGCATTTAGACATGTAGACATGGTCAAGACGATCTGCTGCAGTTCAAACCGAGCATCAGAATGGGGAAGAAAGGTGATTTAAGTGACTTTGAACGTGGCATGGTTGTTGGTGCC